ACAAACAAAAAAGACATTTTGGCAAGTATTTGATCAATGCGATATTGCTTTTGGTTCATGTGCCATTCTCACAATGTTCCATCAAGTTGAGTGCAATGCATTTTGTGATAGTATTCTGACCTTGCTGCATTTCTGTAATTTTTAATAACTTCAGTTATGCAATTATACCACCCGTAGGAAGAAAACACAGTGGAACTGCTCTCTTGTAATTCTTAATTCATCAAGGATTCTTCTCAAACAAGAGGCAGCAAAAAGCTCACACAGCCAAGGAATCTAATCATTGAGGCGTTCAAATACTTACTGTTCGGATTCTGTGTGTTTTTCATCATGCTTGGGTTTTCTGCAGAACAGAGAAGAGGAGGGGGAGTTGAAGATTAAGAGGTGGGGAGGGAGAGAGAAGAATGTATTAATAGATAATACGAGAGATAACCATCATAGGGTTGTGCTCTAATGGATAAAAACCACAAGTCTCTTAGAGACAAGACTAGAACACCGCTGAAGAGCTATCGGCAGCCAAAGTTCATGTTCACTTCTATTCTTGGCAGGCTTCAATGTACAATCCACCAAAGACTGCAACCTTTTGAACTTTGAGCTCTCTGTGCACGCACAGATGAGCAAACTCCAAAAAATACCAAAATATTTTCTAAGAATCCTCAACCGCCTCCAAGACTACAAAAATCTATTAACAAGACCTGATGCTGCAAGCTTCCTTTCTCCTAAATGCTCATCTTTGTTCTTTAATACAGCTGAAGGGCTCTAATGAATGGCTATTGAAATGGGTCAATAGTAGCCCAGTTCAAAGGCTCTTAATCACCATTCTCCCCTCTGTGCCACCCGTGTTCAGACTCAAAAACACAAGCATGTTTTGAATGTGGTGGATGACGAGGGCCACACTAGGCTGTTAAATAGACATTAATGCTTCTCCACGTGAACCATTCCTGAGGTGATGCCATCCCTAAAGAAACACTTTTCATTAAATGGCCTCTTGTACTCTGCCCCAAAAATCTGTAGATGTGCATGAAGAATAGACCTGAAGAACAGAAGTAATAGGCCGATTGAAACTCACCCTCATGTTATTTCTAAGCTGTATTTTTTCAGAGAAACTGTTTTTGTGCAATGAATTAGGTTTGAAGCTTTGAAGGATCAGGAAGGATACAACTGCACCATAAAAGCACCATGGTCCACACAACTCACCCATAAACACTGATCAATTAAGTTGCTGTTCACTGAAAATCTTGACATCTGCCAGCGCATTTAAATAATGTCTTTTTAGGTTTCTTTCCAATGACTTGGTTGATTCTCTTCACAAAACCAGTATAAACTCACTGATTTAATTATCTGGCTGCAATGGTTGACAGTTCACTCAAGGGGAAACTTTCAGATAAGTTGAAATATAGAGGATGGACAACTTTATGGACCGCTTTAATGACATATTTAAGATTCTTTTTCATTCTTTTTGAAGTTTGAAAGCTTCAGTCCCCATTCATTGCACAGTATTTGAATGGTAATGGATTATTTAATTCAATGTGTAATGTCTAAATATGCTCTCAGAAAAAAATATTGTTATTTTTAACATTTAATTCAATTTTGTGTAAAAAAAATAAATGTTTTAACAAATACTCAGTCAAGGAGATACTGCCTTTGTTACATGTGTCATTCCCTAAATGGAAGATCAAGTCAAATGCAATGCATTGCCTCGTGGCATCTCTGTAATTTTTTACAACTTTAGTTTTTGCACAAAGTGTAGTAAAGTGACCAATTCTTCAAATTTTTGAGTTTAGAATGACATGAGGATGGGTAAATAATGACAATTTTTTTATTTTGTGTGCCCTATCCCTTAGCAAAAGTCATATGTGTGTCATAAATGAACGTATTATTTTAAAGGAGTGAGAAGCAATTGTTTTTGCATGTGGTTGAATCTACAATAAACAACTGATTCAATTGATCATGGGTGCAATTGTATGTTCACGCCTGATGGTGAAGCATATTCAAGCATGTTGTCCTCAGCCTTGGCTGTCATTCGGATTATCCAGAGGAGCACCGACTGTCCTTCATCTTCCAAAGCACATCTTTGATTAGATCTGCGCTCACACTATAGGCAGATCTCTCATAAAGCCTGACAGCCTCGAAAGCTCAGGGGTGAAATTAGTCCAGGGGCGGCAAAACACACACACACACAAATGCATCAGTAAACAATCTCTTTCTAACATCAATGAAAACAAAGCCAAGACTTAGTGGGCACAGCATCTGTTTCAGCAGCAAAGGATGGCCAGACAAAACCACAGGGGAATGAAACTGTCACACAATCACACAAAAAGGCTATTTTTCTTTTAACAACATGTTGATGATTTCATATTTGTGCTAAAAAAAGACAATATCCCTTAAGGAAAGACATCTGTGGCCCCACAAAAATGATAAAAATACTGGAGATTTGACCGTTATGTGTTAATGTAATCATCTATTTTT